GTTTCGTCCTCCTTTTATATGCAAGTTGCGTATGGTAAATCTCCTCTTAGCTTTTCGTCCAAGTAAAGATGCTCATAAGGTAAGTCCTTGGTTGCTCAAAGTCGCGATCTCTTCCTCGCAATTATGGTATGTGAATCCCGAGCTTATTCCCATGGTCCTGCCGTAATAAACACGTATAATCAAATAAATAACTCTAATTAAAAATACTTTTAAGTACTTTAATTCAACTTTCCTTAAATACTCTTGCAATCGTCTGAATCCTGGGAACTTAAGAAGGTTCATCGATTTACTGCCAATCTTCAGACCTTATAGTAACAAAAAACAAGGGGAAAACAAAAACTATTGTCATAATTTTTTTGCCAATAATTATGTGTTTATATAGTCATTATGTATCTCTATCACAATTAATTATGTATTTATCTATTATATCGTTTAATATTGTAAAAATTAATGTTTCTCTTATAAATTTCTATCTTTGAAAAATTCAATCAACCCAATATAAAAATGATAAAAATAATATTTCTTCTATAAATTTCCATTTAAAAAAGTCACTTGACCCATAATCGTATTTTGGTTGAGGTAAGATTAAGTGTATATCTTTCAGTCCTTTATATCCCTCGATCAAATTGTGTATCCCAAAATCGTATTTAGGTTGGCGTATGATTGAGTGTACATCTTTCAATTCTTTATATCCCTCGGTCAAATTGCGAAATGAAAAAACTGAAAGGACACGCAAGAAGCGGCCTAGAACCTCAGAAAAGAGACAAAAACAAGAACAAATAAAAAGACTCCACTGCCCAAGGGCCTAGAGCAAAAACATCAAGAAAAAGAAAAACAGAAGATAAAAACAACTACAAGTTCACAAAAGAAGACCAATCTAAATGCGCAGCTTTAAGAGTAACTGGAATGGGGAGAAGATTGTCTTGAAAGATACTGAGGTTGCGAGTTTTCCAGAGCCACCGTAGGATATACATTGTGAGTTGGATCCTTGCCTCCGATGTCTCTGTTGAGTCTAAAGAGCAAATGTAGTTCCACCAACACCTGAAAGATAAGTTTTGATTTGGCATACTGCTCCAAGTTACCTGAGATTGCTTCCATAAGTTTGCAGCCCTTGAACAAGTAAACAGGACATGAACCACAGACTCCAAGTCTTCACCACAGAAGCTGCAGGTTGCATCTAACTTCATGCCTTTCTTAACTAAATTAGTTTTGACAGGGAGAGCTCCCACAATGCACTTCCAGATAAAGAATTTAACTTTGCTTACCACTTTGAGCTTCCACAGCCTCTGCCTGATCCAAGATTGAGAAGGGCCTGAAGAGGAACTGGGGCCAGGTAAATCCATGGATAGCAGCTTTTGATTAGATAGAAAGGAGTAAGTACTAGCCACAGTGAAGTGCCCTTTCTTGTTAAAAAGCCAGTACTGCTTATCCTCTTTGTCATGCTTCAGGGTGTTTATGGCCAAAATAGCTTGACTGTCAAGGGCACCAAACACTTATTTAATCAACCAAGAGTTCCAGCCCCTACCAGAATCCAATAATAAATCCTTGACCCAGATGAGGTGATCCTTGGCAAGGTACAACAGAGAAGGTTTGTGATGCAATAAATTAGGGACCCAGTTCACATCTGCAATTCTTGTAGTAGCCCCATTCCTAATTTCAACAGCATAACCTTTTGCAAAAGTAGGTAGCACCTCAACCCAGTTAGACCAAAGCCAAGAACAGCTGTTGGTTTTTGCAGCCTAAAAAATGGAGCATTTTGGAAAGTATTTGCATTTTAAGATTTGACTGACAAGAAGATGAGGCTGAGTGTACACTCTCCACAACTGTTTACAGATAAGGGCTGTGTTGAAAAGATTCAAATCAAGGAAACCTAGCCCACCTTTGTCTTTGGGAAGAGAGAGATATTTCCAAGCTTTCCAGTGAATTCCCTTAGACTGTTCTTCATCAGAGCTCCACCAAAACTGAGAACACAGTTTAATAATATTGGCACAAAGAGATTTTGGGAGCAAAAAACAAGACATTGAGAAAATAGGAAGGGCTTGAAGGACAGCCTTGATAAAAATAGCCTTTCCTGCTTGGCTTAGGAGTTTGGATTTCCAGTTCTGAATTTTGCTTTGAACAGAGTCTACAATGTACTGAAAAGTATCAAGTTTTGATCTACCAATACCTAGTGGAAGACCTAGGTATCTGGTAGATCTGTGACAAGTGATCCCTGGCAGAGAAGAACTTATGAGGGACTTAAGATGCACTGGAGTTTTCCTACTGAAAAAGATAGAAGACTTGCTCCAATTGACTTTCTGACCAGTAAATTCGAACTTGGTTCGCTTTGAGTTATATATTATCTTTATCGTTTCGGAAAAAAAAAATGATGAAAAATAATAATTCGTCTATAAATTTCAATTTTCTTAAAAAAATTACTCAACACATGATCATTTTTTTGTCGGCGTAATATAGAACGTACATCTTTCGATTCCTTATATCACTTATAGAATGGGTATCGAATATGCGTTTTGCTAAACCAACTGTTGACTCCATAATGAAACCAACTTCCTATAAATAGTAAGTAAAAAATAACATATTTTTTAATCAAATATAAGAATACATTCAACAACAACTTGATAAGAAATATAACAATATTGAAAAAGTAAGAATACTTATATTTTCTAACTTCAATGAAAAAATAAATACCACAAAATATTTGTAATATTATTTAAATCATTTAATTTTTTTTAATCATTTTAAATAAACATTAGAATTAATAATAATACGTAGAACTAAGTAGTTTATATAATTTGAAAAAATAGTACAAACTTTTTGTAGTATTTTTAAAAAAAATTAAATTTAAAATATAAGTGCTTTTATTTTTATTGTGGTTGAGTATTTATTAATTATATATTTTTATTAAGTAGTTGTTAATTGTGTTTTTCTATTAACTAAAAAATATATTATATTTTAATTACTATGTATAAAAGACTGGTTCTATTATAGAGCAAACAGTTAATTCCATAGCAACTCATCGAATTATATTGTGGTTTGTTTTGAACATTAACCAAAAGATAATTAAATTACACCTAATTGACTAAATATGACTAATTACAAAAACATAAATGCCCAATTACAAAAACAACTAGTACAGAGCCCGTGCGATGCACGGGGTACACAATTTTAAGGCCATTTATACAGCCTTATAATTATATAAATGAATAAAAAAATATACGGGATATATATAATGCGTGACCTGTGCGAGACACGAGATATATTTATTTGGGATTATTATACTATAAGATGCAATATTCAACAAAAGTTTTATAATACACGAAAATAAATATAAGTAATGTAAATATTTAAATACATACACGATATGTAGAATAAATAAGCCAAATTGCAAATCTGAAAATATAATTAAAAAAAATCGAAAATATATTTCACTAAACATGTACAAAAATATCTAAATACATACACGAAAATAAATAATTAAATAAATATATGTTTCAAAATTCAAAATTAAAACAAAAATTCAAATAATTTGGCTTACAGTTTTATCAAGCAGAACCAACTCGAGATATGATTTGTATGTGCTGCCCCAGTCTTAAAAAAACATTCTCGCAGTTCGAACTTTGAGCATAGGTCTATTTAGACCTATTGACTTGTTTGATTAACCCAAATCCTTGATTCATTGTTTTGAATAAAAGACTGATTGGGGATATTTTTTATTCGCAGGAGGTTGACAGTGAGGAAGATGATGACTCGATATTTTGAGATTTGTAATTTATAATGGTAGAGTAGATATATATTCATGTTAATATTTTTATTAGAAAATCTGAATCTGAATATACAGAAATCGGTTTGAACAAAAACAGAACATATTTCCATACAATTACATAATAAATTAGATAATAAATAAAGCTTTTTTTTTATTTTAGTAAATATTTTACGCACTTCTTTTTTTTACTTATCGGATGTTATGGAGATTTTTTTTGTTAATCCAATTTTATGGGATATAATACAAATACAATTAGAGGATTCAACAAAATCAGAACAGATTTCCTTACAATTAGATAATAAGAAGAATTTTGATAAGGAAAAGAAGGAATTAGATAAGGAATTTTGAATCTGCCGTTTTTTTAGTATAGATAGACTTTACGTACAAATTTTGACTTCACCGATTTTATGGGATTTGTTTTGACAAAATCGATGTTAATATGAAATAAGACAAGTAAATAAAGCCTCTTTTATTCCAATATAGATTTTACGTCTTTTTTTCTTATCAAATGTTATGAGATTTTTTTTTAAACTGATTTTGGGATATAAGACAAATAAATAAAATAATTAAATTAAATTTTGAATAGAAATAGCAATACATTAACTACATTGACTTTTTAACCTACTAAATTTGATAAGTATGATAACTTATTATATAAGTCATCAAATTTAAAAAGTTTTAAAAAATCCTTAAAAATTTCAATTGAATACATTTATATATATAAGTACTTATTATAGATTGCATTCTGTTTGGACCCTCGTCTACTATGCACTAAATATTATCACCTCCAATCACAAATCAAATATTCAAATTACGAAAACTAAAAAAGGAAAATATAATTTAAAATTACAAAATTACCCCTCCACGTGCACTAATAAATCTGCAGAAACCCACCCACGCGCCCTCGCTCATTCACTCGCGGTCAATACTGATGTGATAACCTTTTGTAACCCTAGTCCTTGTCTCTCCCTTTCTCTCTCTACTCTCTCTCTATCTCTATTTCTCTCACACACAGGCACACTCTCTAGTTACCTTCCCTCCGTCTCTCTCCGCCGCAAGCGCCGCCACGCCTCCGTGACGAATCACTCATCTCGCAGAGGCAAAAAAGCTTCATTCTTCTAGCTTATTAGAGCTTCAACTCTTATTCCACCTTTTTTCTTCTCTCTCTCTCTCTCTCTCTCTCTCTCTGTAAAAGAACTTAATTCTTCTGAGCGCGATTACTTGTTTATTCATAAGTATGGCGATGGTAGAGACTGATGGTTGTGGTGATCAGTTTGATCACCAGAACGACGTGGTTGCCGATGGCACCCCCAAGTCGCCGTGGAAGACTCCGACGGCTGCTTCTCCGGTGGTGGGAGCTGATTCGGAGTCGTGGCCGGCGCTGTCCGACGCCCAGCAGCGGGCTAAGAACAATGGCGGCGTTGATTCCAGCTCCGGCAAGTCCCCAGCGTCCGCTCAGGCAGAGTCTGAGAGTTGTGGCGGTGCTCCTCCGCCAGCGCAACCTGTGGTATTTTTACCTTTATCACTCGAATTTCATTATTTTTCCATTTATTTATTTTCCGCTGTTGGTTATTTTTGTTGCCGTATTTTTGAATTCAGCTGGTATTTGCATTGAGCTTATTTAGACGCCCCTCTTTATTTTATTCAGTATTACTTCACACGTATGTGTAGAGCTTCTTATTTAGCCAGGATTCAGATGGTTAAATAGAAAAAAAGAAGATTTTTTTTTGTTAAAAAAAAAAGAATTGTTATTTACAGATTCGAGTTGTATGAGAAAGGAGAAGAAAAAAGCTTTTTGGTTAATTTCTTTAAAATTTCTTGAGCTACAATGTTTTTCCATATACGAATTTACCATCAGAAAAGAACAAATGCATTTTTGAAAGCAAACAATGAGAAGTGTGTATTTTTTTCATGCCACGTGTTTAATGGGAGTTTGATAAATCTTCTATTACTGGGATTTGGTATCGACAATCAGACTAGCTACTAGGAACTATAAAGGAAGCAAAATACATATTATCAGAAGTTAGACATTGAACATTTTGCCTGTTGAGCTGGTGACCTCTATACCTGAAAAAGGGAAAGAGCGATTCCTTTTGGTTGGCTTGATTAAAAAAATCTTCAGTATTAACTGGCAAGCAATAAACGTACCACTGCTCTCACCATCGCTAAATTCATGCATCAACATTCCCTTCTTTTATTTCACCAATCTTTGTCAGATTACTAGTTCCTAAATCTACTTCTCAATTACGATCATTCTTTGTATATAATGTTCACGTCGTATGATTTATCCTTATTAGTTCCACAAATGTTTAAGATCTAAATTATGAACTTGCACCGTGGCATAAATTGTGGTCAATATTTCTGCTTTCTGAACTATTACCATGGTTTACTTTGTCCTTTCAATTGGAACTGTTCAGAATGCCGAAATAAATATTTCATGGGGAAAAAAAGTGTCAGCTCCCATTTAACTCTGAATACATGCTGTTGTGCCCAGAATTTTTATCTTCATTGGAAAAAGAAGGCCCATCTTATTTGATATGCCTTATTAGTATGCCATGAGTGATCTTGCCTGACACCTTTTCTTTTCGTCTGACAGGCTGCAGTAGAGCAGCAAAAGTTTCATGGACGAGGTCACATGAGATCTCCGCGTAAACCCGGTCCCCACCCGATGCATCAGAACAAAACTGGACTGAAGCATGGTCCAAACGGTGTAGCTCCCTTTCCTATGCCCTTACCGTATTATCCGCCAATGGTAGCCCCAGTTTATCCTGCTATGATTCCCATGGCCCCCATTCCTGCCCCTGGATATGCTTATCAGTTACCCCCTGGACCTCCCCCTAGAGTTAGTACACAGTTGGCCAAGTCTGGTGATGATGCTTCGTCACAGACAATTGTGCCTCAGCCTTCACCACACAATGAGTCAAACTTTCAGGACTCTAATTCTGCTGGAAGAAGGCCCAACACAAAGGAACAGGGCGGGCAAGTGAGTTCTTGGAATAATCAACGACCATTTTCTATTAACAATTTTCATTTTCAACAAAATATGGGTCCGAGGAATGTAGTGAGACCTCCATTTTTTGGGCCATCTGGCTTTGTTGATGGATCGAACTTCCCAGGTATTTAAATTATTATGTCGAGATTGTGTCCGTGTATGATAAAATTTCTTATTGCATTCAAATTATCTGTTTGATTGCTATACACCCCAACTCTGCTTTTCTACCCTCGTGTATTTCTTCTTTTAGAACGTGCGTTGATTGACAAAGTCGTTTGTTGTACAGGTCCTCCAGGAGCAATCTATTATTTTCCTGCTGCACCACCAGGCCCTGTCAGAGTACCGTATGCACCAGTTTTGGTTCCATATCCTTTTAGCCCTGGGGTTCACATACCAGCTTCGCCAATTATAGCCTTGAGAGCTAATATTGTGAAGCAAATTGAATATTATTTCAGGTAAGGCTTCCATAATCTCATGCCTGCAACTAAAAGATGGTATACAGTCTTTTGTACGTACAGAATACTTTGACCTTCTCATGAATGAATATAGCTATGAAAACTTATTTTTCCAGTAACGTTTTGACAGTTAACAGATGTTATGTTCCGAAACTAATCTGTTTCCAAGAAATAGATGACACCTAAATGTTGGGTTTTACTTGTTTGGCAGTGATGAGAACCTGAAGAATGATCCTTACTTGATTTCCTTGATGGACAGTGAAGGTTGGGTTCCAATAGCGACCATTGCTGAATTTAAACGGGTAATATTACGTAATTTTTGCAATGTTAATATTGCTTCACACACAAGGGATGCCACACAACACTTATACGACCGTGCTACTCTCCCATGGCCACGAAGGCTAGCCTGGTCGTGTTGGGTGGATGCTAGTGGGCAAAGGTCCCGGGTTTGAATCCTGTTGGTGCATGTGTTATAGGATCATCTCTTTTTTTCTGAAAAAAACAATTTCTCCCTTGTGGGGCTAAGAACTGTTATGATATTCTTGCCTCAAGGAAAACCCTAAAATTAAAATTGTTGCTTGTACTTTCAGGGAACTAAAATCATTTAGAAAAGCATTGCAGCAATATAACATTATAATAGAATTGTATAAAAGTATGTGAATCAATTAACCAAATCATCCACTGTAGAAGCTGCTTATCTCTGGAGATGAGGCTAAGTGCAGGTCTGCCTTTAAACCATTTCTAAAGGAACTGTCACATTTCATTATCATACTTTTCCAAGTACAAAATTACAACCCATCTAAACTCATCATTTGAACACCCCAAATTGAAGCCATGATAACTGATCAAGTGGGTAAATACAACTGCTTGTGACTAACTCCAAGCATAAGATATTCCCTTTTACCGAAGGAGACTGGATGGATTCTTGTTTTACATGTACTTTAGATAGTTGAGCTTTTTTACTTATTCAAATTATGGTCCTTTCTGACTTATGTTTATGCTACAATATTTATCTTAAATTATGGAACTCAGGTGAAAAGAATGAGTGCTGATATACCATTTATTCTGGATGCACTGCTGGCTTCAGAGACAATTGAAGTACAGGTTGATAATATTTCTGGTGACTACCCAGTTATTTACATACAATCTTTATTACGCTGCATGAACTTTCCTTTGCTTGCTTTTTATTTTTCCTATTTTCTGTTCTTGCTCAAAGTCTCCCTCAATCGGCATTCAACTTTGATCTTTGTAGGGTGAGAAAGTAAGGAGACGAAATGAGTGGTCTAAGTGGATATCAACTTCTGGTAATGGTAAATCTTCTTCTATCACTTCCAATGCTGTGAAGAAGGATAGTTTTATTGAAAATATAGAGGTCAGCTCTGAAGGAACAACAAAGGAGCTTTCTTCAACTAAAAATGAATTCCCCATAGATCCCCTGCTAGTGGATCATGATTGTAGAAAAGAATCCAGCACAGTCAATACTGAGAAAAACAGAGATAATAGTATCAGCGCGGAGTTAGATTCCCAGACTGATAATATGAATAATAACAGTGAACTTCACCGTGATCCGAATTTGCTCACTCCTTCACAAGGAGGTGATACGGTGAAGTCACCTGTTGATAAAAGTCATGAAAAAACAAAGAGGGTGGTGATTCGGAATCTGAAAGTGCAGAGTCCAGATGACTTATCTAATGATTTCTCAAACACATTTATGCTTGATGAAGAACTCGAATTGGAGCAGAGAACAGTGAAGAGCAGTCATCCTTCTATGGAAAGGTATTACATCTCTCAGTCAACTTCATAGGCGGTGTTTAAATTTCTGTTTGCTACTTTCATTTTTATTTAGTTGCATCTTTATTTTTATCAACTGGTTAGTTAGGACATGGACAAGGATACAAGAACATACATCCTGGTAGACATATTTCAAAATCCTCTTGAACTTTCATAAAGTTATAACAATATGGCCTCTCAATTTTGAGACTGAATGGAACTCCATGTTTTGTGATTTTGGAAGTTAGCTGAGTATTTCAGTAACTAGGTCAAACATCAAGAGTACATTTTGTAATTATCCCTTTATCTTATGAACTGACTACTTTCCTTTATTTCTTATGACATACTGCTTAAATTGAAGATATTAGTTACAACAGTAAAGCAATAATCACGGATTCATGTGTTGTACTGGACGTATTTTTACTTTTATAATACAATCTGGTGCTTATGTGTTGCATTTTCTTGTAACTTCTCATTTTTTGACTTGCTCTAGTAGTTTCTGACTTATCCTTTAATAATCAGGGTTGACGATGAAGACGATGAAATCAGGGTGGACGATCAAGCAGTTGAGAGACTTGTAATTGTGACTCAGGTGAGATCACGAGGTGCTAGCTGAATTCACTAGGATATACCATGAATTGTTTAATTTTGTTCACTGTAAGTGTCTTCTTATGCTAAATTGTTTTGATGCTGCTCTCAATATCTTGTGAATATTAATTTTTTTATGCCATTACAATTTCACAAAATGGAAGTATTTTGCACCCAATCGAAGTATTATATGAATATTAAAGATAATAAAATATTATGGCCACTTTGTCCATCTTTTTGGACAAAAGAAGGGCAAATCTTAAATCCATGACTGCTTGATCAGGTGTTTTGTTTGTTTGTTTGTTTGTTTGTTTGTTTGGTTTTTTTTTTTTTTTTTTTTTTTTTTTT